TAAACCCCAAGGGTTTAGGGTTTAGGCTGTGTGGATCTCAGTCCTCGGGTTTAACCTTGGAATCCTGGGCTCGATAGCGTACAGTACAGCAAGAACATGATATTAATATAGCAAAGGATAGGTTGAAATAGGGTCGCGCATGCCTTATGATCCACCCCCCTGGGGTTTAGGGTTTAGGGGGGTTTAGGGTTTAGGGTTCAGGGTTTAGGGCTTAGGGTTTAGGGTTTAGGAACAGCTGATTGTTTGAGGTGGCGGGTTGGGGTTCAGACTTATTCAAAGGTGTAGGGTTTAGGGTTTAGGGTTTGTAGGGGTGTCTTTGCTGTTTTTGGCTTTGGGGTCAGGTCAGGCTTCGGGTCGTTCTTTTAGGACTTTGTGGAGCCAGGGTAGCAGGGAGCCGGACTTTGATCGTTTTTTTCTTGGAGCTTCTTTAAACCCTAAACCCCTAAACTTTCAAAACCCCAAAACCCTAAACCCCTAAACTTTCAACCCTTAGAAAGGACAACGCAACATTGTTGGGATCCTTAAGGTCAAGGAATCTTACCTAACGTAGGGGCCTTACCAAAATTAGAATGCTTAGGGTTTGGGGGTATATATGCTATCCGCCTTACAACAAGGAACCCGCCACAATAGTATTGGTAAGTATTTAGCTTCTATATTGGACCCTAAACCCTAAACCCCTAGACCCTATTTAGGCTTCCATAATTAAAGCCCTCCGAAACCACGAAAGCAAGTTCTGGCCCTTCTATACTAGACCCTAAACCCTAAACCCCTAAACCCTAAACCCTAAACCCTAAACCCCTATATCTTAAACCCTAAACCCCTAAACCCCTATATCTTAAACCCTAAACCCTAAACCCTAAACCCTAAACCCCAAACCTTAAACCCTAAACCCTCTGAAACCCTAAACCCTAAACCCTAAACCTTAAACCCTCAACCCTCTGAAACCCTAAACCCTAAACCCTAAACCCTCTGAAAGCCCCCGAAAGCAAGTTCGACCCCGCCTGCGGCTCTGTTTCGGCCTTCGGCTCGGCCTCAGGGCTTTGGAGGTTCCTTTAAAGGCCCCTTTCAGGGTTTAGGTTTAGGGTTTACAGTGTAGGGTTTAGGGTTTGGGTTTAGGGTTTAGGGTTTAGGGTTTAGGTTCCTTTAAAGGCCCCTTTCAGGGCTCAGGCTCCTAGGGTTTAGGGTTTAGGCTCCTTTAAGGGTTTAGGGTTCAGGTTCCTTTGAAGGCCCCTTTGAGGGTTTAGGTTTAGGGATTAGGCTTTAAATTCCTGTAAAGGCTTCTTTCAAAACTTTTTGTTTAGTTGAGGATTGCGGGATATGCTTATTATGGTCAATGAAGGATTTTGCCTCTGAAAAATATGCCGCGTCGCCCCAACTCCTAGAGACAACAAGTAGTCAAAGACTGCCACACCGCATCACCCAGTTACTAAGGAGCCTAAATAATTACCAATATCGTTCCTTATGGTTCCTTATCATTCCTTACACCTCCTTGTCAAAATTATGCTATAAAGGAGCCCAAAGCCCTGCCGCATCGCATGTGCCGTTCTTCAGCAACCTCTTATCAGAAAGATTACCTCGTCCAAACAGCAAGACGTGAGCAAGGAGGGACTGAGGGTACCACTGCAAGCCCTACTTGGAGGATCATGTGACTTAGTAAGTAAGGTTATAAGTCCCCTAATTGGGGTTATAAGTATAGCTACCTGAGTTATAACCCTACTTACTAAGTCCCATGATCCTTTAAGTAGATCAAGCTCACCAAAAAGACACCAACACCTTTGCAATCTGCGACTCTTGAATGTGAATCCTTTCCCAAAGGCTCCATGTAGCTTACCTATATTATCTACTTAAGCCTTCAAAGGGTTCCTGTATAGGCACTGTAATTCAGGTCTTAGTACATACGATATACGTACATGGAGTGTTAGGCTTTACAACCGAAGCCCCTGCAGCTCGATCTAAGCCCCTCATGTACCGCGCTAGACCCTAAACCCTAAACCTCACACCCTACGTGGCCGGATGGCCTCTGATATGAGATCCCTGCAACCTGATTTAAACAACACAGTCTTATGGATGGATGCCCTTATAGTACCCCTAAAGCAACGTTGAATCTACATAAGAACCCCAAAACCCTTTTCTGTTTACTTTGAGTTTCTTCAGGCAAGACCCATGTATGAACCATAACTAAGGCCCAGTTCAGCTCGAATAAACATCCATTCTTGGTGGGGCCCTAAAGCCCTTAAAGCAACGCCTCAAGGGCCCGAAATTAAGGCCCGATAGAACCTGAAACCCTAAACACTCTCAAGGAACCCTAGAACTAATTGCAGAGATCCATATAAGTACCCTGAAATCATGCAGGAACCCCCAAAAAAACCTAAACCCTAAACCCTAGGCCCTGAACCCTAAACCCCAAACCCTAAACCCCGCCTCCTCAGACTGTTCCGGTTCTGACGGAGCAGGCGGTGCCGCCTGTCGAATTCGAGCCTGCAGGTCTTGCTGGGCATGCGGCTCCTGTACGTGTTCCTGTAAAGGGTTGTGTCAAGGAGGGGGTTAAGGGATACAAGGTTTAAAGTTTGGGGATGCAGGGAAGAAACTGTAGGCGCTTCGGATTTAGCGTTTAGGATGTAGGGTTTAGGATCTAGGGTTTAGGGTTTGGCAGAGATTGCACATATCCAAATCGTAGGGTTTTACATGCAAAAGACCTTTGGGGGATGAAGCCCTACTATTTGGGTCACAAAAATGGGCAAGGTTTCAAGGCTCAGGGCGCAGGGTTTTGGGTCTAGGGTTTAGGGCTTGTAAGGGTTAGGGTTTCGTGATTAGAGTGCTATGTCATCTGGTCTTGGGTGCCGAAACCATTCAGAGTATAGAAATTGGAAACGACCGAAAACCCTACTGCTTGGGTTCTTGGACCCTTAGAGTGATACGTCATCTGCTTCCGGTTACAACCTGCAAACTAAGTTCCCTTATTGTAAAACTAATCAGTCAATCAATCCTTGCGACAGCTTTCACGTACGCCGCATCCTGCTGCTGCTCTTGCCGCGCGTGCACATACTCCTGGGCAGTAGGAAGTAGAATCCTTGGTGGCATCTATACGCTGAACCTGAAAAGCAATGGAACGCCGATGCTCTGAACCCCCAAAACCGAAATACATCCTGAATGAACTTTTTTTGCACCTCAAAGCTCAAAACACTCGTAATGTGGGAGGCTTACAAATCTTCAATAGGGTTTTGGGCTACTTCATCGTGCTCGTGTTATTGTAATACGGAGCCCTACCGATAATATTGGTTAGTAAGTGTTTAAGCTTCTATATAAATTGCCAACAGCCCCAGAACCCTAAACTTCCAAAACCCTAGCCAAGTGTCTCGAAGAACCAGTTCCATACGTTCCGCTTCGTGGAGGCGCGGCGTGTTTTGTCCCCATTCTCCCAGCCCTGGTCGTTGAGCCTGGGGGGAAGCAAAGGACTATGAATAAGGTTGTGGGGACTGGTGTTTAGGGTTTAGTGTTATGGTTTAGGGTTTAGATGAGGGCTTAAGTTAAACGCAGAACGGGCCAACACTAAACCCTCAAAGCCTACAACCCTAAACCCCTGAACCCTTAAATCCCACAGCCCTAAACCCTTAAACCACAAACTACCACATCCATGAATCCCTAGACCCGAAATTTCGCAACCTTAAAACCATAAACCCTGGAATCCTCAAGCCCTAAACCCTTCGACCACAAGTCCGGGTTGAGGGTTAGCAGTTCGAGAGGCACTCGAAAATCAAAGAGAGCTGCAGAGAAAACTCATTAAAACCGTCAAAGCGAGCACTTTCAAGCCCTTCTTCCATCAGGGCTTCAAAGCACAAGGTTGTTATGAGCCTTCAATCATGACAGAGATCCCCTATTTCAGAAATGCAGTTTTTGAGCTAACCCTAAACTCGAAACCCTAAACCCCATACCCTAAACCCTAAACCCCATACCCTAAACCCTAAACGGCCCTAAACCCCATACCCTAAACCCTAAACCCCATACCCTAAAGCCCAAACCCCAAACCCCAAGCCCTAAACCTCTGCAGACGGGGCACATGTCCTGGATCAGTGACTTGAAGAGCAGGGCGATGGGCGCATCAGCCTCCACAAGGCGGCAATCTCTTTTTAGGGTTTAGGGGTTTAGGGCTTAGGGTTTATGGGTGTAGGGTTTTGGGTTTAGGGGTTTGGGGGGTTAGGGTTTAGGATTTAGGGTTTAGGGCTTAGGGTTTAGGGGTTTAGGGCTTTAGGGGTTTAAAGGTTTAGGGTTTAGGGGTGTAGGGTTTAGGGTTTAGGTTTCAGGGCGCAGGGTTTATAAATGGCAGTAGCGATAGACTAGACCCGTTGATAAGTATCAGCTTGAAACTCGACAGCTCGGGGCACAGTACATAGGAGTATACTTCTGATAGCCAAGCGGCTTGCTAGTTGCGACCCGAAACAAATTTACCCAGGGTTTAGGGCTTGGGGGCTTAGCAGTTTAGGGTCTAGGGGCTAGACCCATATAAATATCTCTTCCCTGTATGTTCTCGTATATTTGAGGATTCAGGGAGTCTTGGGCACCTTAAACTCCCAAACCCGACACAGCCACTACAGCATGTTCAACATGGGCGCTGCAAGTGAAGGAGCTGATAATGCGCATGACACCGCTCACAATGCCAACATCAAGTTTCTTCTTGCATACGCGTATTAACAGCCGCCGGGGAATGTGCCAGCAGAAGCCGTGCTGTTGACAACGACAGTGCACATGCTCTGCGACTTGTAATGATGACTACTACTAACTGATTCTCAGTGCCTGCCAGTAATGTAGGGGCCGCAATAATTAGAATGGGATTTTGGTATATATTATACCATAATTACAAAAAAACAACCACCCAAAATAATATTGGTAATTATTTAGGCTCCTATGTTGAAACAAATTGTCAGAGTTGCTAAACAGTTGCCGCATTGCTACTATCCCCAGCTTACCCAGAGTGTCCAGATGTACTACCATGATGGAACTAGGCCCCAAAAGACCATCCTTATGATGGTGTCGGGGATCAAACTCCACAATGCTGGTGCGTGTGTGTGTGTGTATATATATATATATATATGGACCCTCTTGGTCATTGGTTACAGCCACCATCGCCCCTCATGGTTCTATGGTAACACGATCCGATCCAGCCTCGACTGCCTTTCTGCTGTCCTGCAGCGCTTTCGAGCAGGATTTCATAGGGTGCTGTAAAGGTGTCTATCAAGGGGAACTTTAGGATCCTAAACCCTAAGCCCTAAACCTTTTAGGGATTTAAGGCTTGAGGTAGCTTTGGGCCAAGGTCCGAAACCCTCAGCCGTTTTTTTTTTCGGTTTAGGGTTTAGGGTTTAGGATTAAACCGCAAACCCTAAACCCTAAACCCTGAACCCTTTTAACCCCAATAAACCCTAAGTAAACCCAAGTTAAACCCTACAAAACACGGGATTTCTGGGGCATTAAGGCTTGGGTGCTGGCTTAAACCTTCAAGCTCTCGAGCTTCACGGGTTTCCGCTGTTTCTAGCTTTGAAGACGCAGCCTAGGCCCAGGACAGGGGTTGAAGGGTTTTCGATGTACCTGGACCGTACAGAACCTACCTTTTGAGGGTTCTTGGTATACGTCAGGTATACGTCATTTAAGGTTCTATAGTACGAACTCCTTGATTATATAGGTCATGTAGGGCTCTTGATTATGAGTTCCTTGTATAAGTCATGTAGGGTGAAGGTAAGACTTGAGGGCCAGAAGAAATCGTGACCCCTAAACCCAAAACACCAAAGCCCGCGCCCTGGCCCTACACCTTCCTTAACCGGACATCTTCCAGCCTCGCTCCCTTCCAAGAAAGCGTGGAACCACGCAACCCAGCTTCCGAAAAGCCTGAAGACCCGAAACAAGCCCTAGCCCTAGACCCCAACATCCAACCCTCACTCAAAACCCCCCAGGGAAACGAACCCAAACAAGCACCAGAAAAAAAAAAGGACAAAAACATATCTGCACTGAACACTTAACAAGCGACCCAACACCTACGATCTGAGCACCGAATTCTTGTCAACACCCATTACGGCATAGGTTTTGAGGTGTGGGCGGGCTAGACTAGTGTGTAGGACGGAGATCTGGGTGCCTAAATTGGTAGAATAAGTTTTTGGGGTCATATAGAATGGCCTTAACAATCAAAAAGGGTTTCGGGGTATACTAGTTACTAGACGATACATATAACAAGGAACCCTAATAAACGGTATTGGTAGTTATTGAGGCCCTGCATTAGACAGGTAATACACGCGGGTAAAAACATCGTCAACAAGAACGAGGCCACAGCACAAGGCTTAGAGCAACATCATCGTGCGCCTTGGCCAAGCGCACACCCATCACGTCAATGCTGGTGCCGTTGCTTCTCTGCACCTCATTGGCAAGAACAGTCGATGAAGCAGAACATCCTTTCAAGGTCTGTCAGAAGAAAAGGTATATCGCAATTCAGTGGCCAGACTTAGAACATGAAACCGAAGCCGTAGACCTTCAATCGAAATCCAGCACGACTCGTAGAGGACCTCAAACCAAACAACAGGAGCGCTTCGTCTAAAGGTCCGGGAGATAACGATCCTATGGGCTTTGCGCGAAGGACCCTCGTTTATCGACACTCTCATGTAGCATGCAGGATTTACAGAGCGCACACAACAAGAGCCTATACAAGCCTAACGTACCACAAGCCCCCAGAACCGACACTAAACAGATACGAAAACCTACACACCCATCCCCCATGCTGAAACCAAAACCCTACATGCTAAACTCCAAACCCTAAAACCTCAACCCTTACCTGACAACCCTACTGTAGGGGGCCTCAAAATTAGACAAGGGTTTTGGGGTTTTTTGTACTATAACCATATTAAGTTTAGGGTTTACTGAGCATTGCCAAGGGGCTGTCACTCGAGTCGCCTGGCGATCAAAGAGCGCCACCTGGACCCAGTCACCCCTAAACCCTAAACCCTAAACCCTACACCCTAAACCCTCAACCGTCCCATTCTTGCCATTTGCTATTTCGGGCTTACGGCTCTTCGGCGCTTAGAGTCTAACCGATACTGGGGCCTTGATCGTTAGGATTCCACGTTTAAGGGTTTTGGGATTTAGGGTTTTAGGTTTAGGGTTTAGGGTTTAGGGTTTAGGGTTAAGTTAGGATGTGTTTCGGGCCTTGATACATAGGCTGCTGTTCTGAGGTCTACCTGTAGCATTTATAGCACGCACACAGAAACAAGTGTAACTGGACCAAAGGGGGGGTGTTCTCGCTGAATATTCTGACCTCTAAGACTCTATGAACTCCAGACATTAGCTCCTCGTCAGAATATGCAAAACCAGCACTAAAGCTATATAAAACGTCAAGACACCTTTTCTAACATTCAAACAACGCGTGGCACCCTTGATAGCATCGATGTCACTGTGCATACGATTTTGAAGCACTAAAAGTCCTCCAAGCTCTGACAAACCCTCAACCCCCAAACCAACCCCTATAGCCTTAGAGTACCCTTTAAAGGAAGCTTCAAAGGAGCCAAAACCATACCCTCTAAACCCTCAACCCTTCACCCTCAACCCTAAACCCTCTCCTTCATATATATATATATATATATTTAAACCCTGTTGGTATTCGTGGGCATTGAAAAAATCGGGCTCGTTTTTT